TTGGTTTTTCAAGTTCAATTTATATAGAAACCACCTTATAGGGAATTGCGATTGCAATCAACCAGCAGGACCTATTTTCTGGTTAAATTTCGATTGAAATCCCCAAATGCCCTTGAAAAATGCACCGAAAAATACGTCAACTTTGGTTAGTAGTACATGTCACGTGCCTGACACCTTTATTTTAAGGTATTTTGGAGATTTCAATTGAAATTTCATCAAAAAATAGGTCAAGGTGGTTTTTGTATAAATTGAACTTTAAATGTGGTATTTGCATTTTCACCGTATTTTAAAGGTGGTTTTTGTGAAAAAACGAAATGATATCCAATACAACCATCAGGAACAAGTAAAGTCGAAATGTGGGAGATCTTCGTAATTGTATAGCTGTAGTATGTTCAAGAAAATCTGCTTAAATCTAAATAAACAAATGATTCATGAAGCCTGTTATAATTCTTTCTTTCTTCCTCCTCTCCTCATCATTATATTACTTAGTTTACTTATTTGAGATTTATTTATTACTATAGTTTTGCCCGTTCACCTTGATTACATAATTATTTCTCTCTAGCTGTTAAATGATTGATTCATACAGTAGACCAACCGCGGAGGATAGCTAATGAAAATATTCTCTGAACTATTCCCATGTTTTCACACAATCTCTGAATACTCCTTCAGCAATCAATTTCGGCACCAGCTTTTTAAAATATTCTAGTTTTAAGTATCGTTTAATTGGTTAGTAATATTAGTTTTGCCTATCCATGCAATTGTCGTAGATTTATTCATCATGATGCTATTTTTTACATTTCTGCTGCAAGTCTCATTTTCTTATGCTCCTGAATTCGTCCCATCTTCCATCATTTGCTGCAAATTTCAAGCATTCTGGATTTCGATCACGTTGGTAACTATTCGTAAAAATCAACACTTTTTCATCTTGCAGTGAAAATTTTAGTTAACTGCAAGTCTCATTTTCTTATGCTCCTGATTTCATCCCATCTTTCATCGCTTGATGCAAATTTCAAGCATTCTGGATTTCAATCACATTGGTAATATTCCTAAAAATCAACACTGTTTCATCTTGCACCGAAAATTTTAGTTATCTGCAAGTCTCATTTTCTTATGCTCCTGAATTCGTCCCATCTTTCATCACTTGCTGCAAATTTCAAGCATTCTGGATTTCGATCACATTGGTAACTATTCCTAAAAATCAACACTTTTTCATCTTGCGCTGAAAATTTTAGTTATCGGATATTCGGCTTTTACCTCAAAATAAGCTACTAACTGATGCATATAGCCTTTGGTTTTGAGTAGGCAAAATAACTTCTGAGTTTATTGACATTCCGTATTGCCAATTATATTGATTATACATCAGATCTATCTCATTATATATATGCGGGCAGTTATGGGGATTAGGCATGCCGAATAGGTGATAAATTTTCAGGAGTTTGAGGGAGAGATCTTATTATTGCTAAAAATGTGCAAGAAAGATTATTTTAAATTGTTCAATATGTTTAAGCAAAATAATGACAGGGTGGAAAGATTATACGAAGACTCATGGTGGCCGATTGTGTTTATATCAGAGTATTTTCAGGCAGCAATGAAACGCAAAGGAGTATCCACACCCAAAAATCTATTAGTTCACAATAATGAATATTTTCACTCATAGATACACACTACTATAAGAATAAAATACAAGCAATACAACTCAAAAAAATAAAAACACTGAAATAGAAAAAAAAAATACATATGACCGCAATATACTGGCAATGGAGACTTAGAAGCTAGAGATAGCTGAAACCACCAAAGTAAAGAAGAAGAAGAAGAAAGAAGGGGTGAACTTGGTAGCCGATGAAGATTGTGGGCCTTTAGTAGTCGCACCTGCCTTCGATCCTCCTTTAGATGCAGGAACTCCTGCTGTCGTTGATGGAGTCGAGGGAGCCGGTGGAGCAGTAGCATCTGATGGTGTGGCCGGAGAAGTTGGTGCTGGTGCTTCCTGCGGCGATCCAGCTGTAGGAATCAACGGTCCAGATGGAGTTGTAGGGATTCCAGCAGGAGCTGCGATACACATAGCATTACTTTAGTACTCCTTTGTGTAAAGTAAAGGGTATTTCTTGACAAATTTTCAGGGATTTTTACGAAACTATCCTAAATTATTTTCATTGAGAATGACTTGATAAATTTTTTATTCAACAGGTTAATGCAGTTAGAAAGAATAAAATGCACATGTTTATAACTTCATGAAGATGGGAGAGTAGTAGTTATGTAAGTTAATTAAGTCAAAAGTTTCTTGAAAGATCACATGCTTGTCACAGAAAAATGATTTAAGGACCCAAAATATTGGACCAATGGAGGGGACAAGTGATGTGTCCCCTCCCTATTGCATAATGAGTTGGCCATGCCAACTCATTATGCAATAGGGAGGGGACACATCACCTGTCCCCTCCCTTGGTCCCATATTTTGGGTCCCCGTAGCAGCACTGCTTATCACATGGTATCTTCATCTAATGATTGGCTTCTTAATGTTGGATAGCGTGTCGTTGACATGACATGCATCTAGACCACTGTAGTTGAAATCATTAACAAATCCCGATCATAGCTGGTGAATTGGATGTGTGCCACAATAACGACACATCAGTCAGTGCTGTATAGGACGCACCAACTTCCTTTTAGTGAAATAGGTTATAATTTCATCACAATTCCCCGGCAGTTCACAATAATTTCTAAAATTTATCATAAGCCGTGTCTGAGTTTAGGGGACAATACATAAGACAGATCTGATTTCAAAAGAGCCTGCATACCGTTGCATTGGCTAAGGGGTGGAGCCTGGATGTTGCAAGCACCTGGAAGAGTGATAGCCTGAGTTCTGTTTATAGGAATCGGGAGTTGAGGTGCAACATTAAGTAATGCGCACATACACTGAGCTTGAGTCTGAACCAAACTTGCAAGCTGAGTGCAACACTGAGGAGACGGAGTCGAGGAGTTACTCGTGATAAAACCAATGCATGATTGGAGGCTAACAATTGAGGGCTGGCAAGGAAGTTGCGCTGAACAATAAGCCCACATTAGCGCAAACAGGACTAGGGTTAGACCCATGTTTGAAGCTCTTTGTGCCATTGAATTTTAAGGTGAATGGCGCAGGGAAGAGTGTAGAATGTTGAGAGGGAGAGAGAGAGTTGTGTGTACTGATAGGAGACTGAAAGAGAGAAAGGAATTTATAAGCGGAAGATGACAACTGAGGTTTCTTGTGGGTGAGCCAACCCTGCCTACTCTGAGAGTCGATATCGGTAGTTGTGATGCGTTGTATGCAATTACATAGAGAGAGCGGTTTAAGTTGGGTGCAAGTTTGTTCTTGGAATTTTTACCAAGGGAAGCACAATGACGTTGCAGGATTCAGTATCATCTGTAGAAACCTTTTTATGCTGAGAGTGGTGGGGACTACGAAGGCCAGAGTTAGGTGGTAATATGAGTAAGCAAAGATTTTCTAGGGAGCTGAATTGGGTGATAACTGTTGCTAGCAAGAGAGAGAACCCTTCATAGTTCCCAACAGATACGGACAGCTGTAATGGCGTTACTAATTTTTTTAGAGTAAACTTTTTTAATTTTAATTAAAAGAGTTAAACAGGGTTTTGCAAACTATAGGCAAGTTGAAGTGTGGTAAGCAGAGGGCTTTTTAGGGTCAAATTTGTTTTACTTTTCAAGTTATTATCTTGGAGCAACGTTGATGTGTCGCAAGTTCTTAAAATTGCAAGAATAAGGACTTGAGACTTTCTGAATAGAGAAGCGAAAACTCGACAGAGGATGTAGGATATGAGAGAGAGGGTAGAAAATTAGGGTAAATTACACCAAAACCCCAAGAACCTTTCAGTGGTTTGCAGTAAACTCCCATAACTTTCAAAATCGCACTAAACCCCCCAGTAACTTTTGAAATTGCAGAAGACCCCCGATAAGTTTCCACGTTTTGCAGATAACCCTGACAAATTAGAGCTAGAAAACGACATAAAAAGTCATTTTGAAAATTATTGGGGATTTAGTATAATTTACGGAAAATATATTGGGACTTTTTTGCAAAAGTTATTGAGGGGTTTAGTGCAATTCTGAAAGCTATTCTGGGCTTACTGCAAAACGCTGAGAGTATTTGGCGGTTTAGTGTAATTTACTCCGAAAAAACATCAGTCTTCCATGCAACTTCATTCATCAAATGTTAATTTCTCATGAGATTCATTCTTTATGTGAAAAGGTATGTGATGGTCACTATCAACTGAGTAATTGGTTTAGTTAAATTACTCCCAAATTCTCCTTGTTTTATATTAATTTAAGGATATAGAATTCTTGCTACATCAAACTATCCCACAAACAAAGACTATTGAATAGTTTTTCTCCTTAAGGGAAGTCATTTTTTCTTCCAATATTTGATGTCACCTTAATACTTACGCATCAAATGCTGTATATTATTAAATCAGATTGAATTAGGGGTGTTAAGAATAATATCTTGATCTGATAATGCTTCTTTCATTGAATAACAACTATCCCATGACTAGGAGTAAGGGCTTTTATCAGATGATCCTATAGAAAGGGTTGATTTAAACCATTCACGGGTGGTTAGAGGGTTACTTTGGTAATTATAATTTTTTTATTTATGGTATAGATCATGTTGTGCCAAAAGCTGTGTCGAGGAACCAAACCAAACGCCGATCCAAGAGGGCCAAAACCAACCAAACTATCAATGCACAAACAAAACACCAATTTTAACGTGGTTCGACAAATTGCTTACGTCCACGGGGCAAGAAAGGAGATGGAGTTTTCACTAATAGAGAAAGAGTACAAACTGATATTACAACCCACTCGAAGGAACAAACTAATCTCACCAACAAGCTCTTAATCTCTCCAAACAAAACCCTAAACAAATAGCTCAGAAAATACATCTTTTCTGTGCTCCAAATATCCCCAATTTGCTTCTCCAAATTCTCTCTTCCAATTGTTCCATATATATAGAAATCCTAAAATCATAAACATACTAGGAATTCTAAACCAAAACCAAATCAAATTAGGAATCCTAATAACCTATTACCAAAATAGATTAGGAATCCTAATAACCTCATGTTACCAAAATAAACTAGGAATCCTAATAACCTCATGTTACCAAAATAGACTAGGAATCCTAATAACCTCATGTTACCAAAATAGACTAGGAATCCTAATAACCTCATGTTACCAAAATAGATTAGGAATCCGCTATCCAACAATTCTTCACCTCGACGAAGTTTTTCCAAAACTGAGCCGACACCGACCAAACCAAATGCCTCACTTGTTGCGTCCAGTACGCCACGGCAACGGACTCATGACAACGGACTTCATCCACACAAGTCGAGACCCAAACGGGAGTGCGAACACTCACCCAAACGTCGGTATCTACGCAGTATGATCTGGAGTATGTGGAATAAATTCCACCCAACGTGAAGTAGCATCACCCTCCACCTGCTGTGATATCCAAACGACCTGATCAACACTCTCCACCTGCCGAGAGTCAAAAGTGATATTCCTGCTCAAAACAAAATCAGAATCTCCCAAACGATAATCAAATGAGCCTCCGAATCCCAAACGTGCAATCGGATCAAATCTCACATCCTCGATGTGACTAAATGCTGGGTAACCAAATATCCGACACCGACCAAAATCTGAAGCAGCTTCACCAGATCCAATAACTCCTAATGCAGCAGTCGACGACCTATGACTAAGATGACCCAAATATGTCGAAGCTTCAGAACCAATGCTCGACAACCAACGCCGATCCTCCTCCAGAAAGGAACGACCCATCGACACTGTCATCTCATCTTGTCGCCCCAAAGTCTCCACACCAATGAAGTGTCTCCTATTGTAGTGAGCTCGGCACAAACGCAAGAAAGGACCCCTACCAAAGCTAGAACAACGAGTTACCTTTCTGCCAATACACTTCTTCCAATTGTTGTTGACTTCTAGGACTTTACACAAACGAGAACTGGTCGCGACCTAATAATGCCTAGAACAATCACCAACTACAAAAACTACAAAACGATTACCTCCCAATGATGCCTCCTTGAAAGGCCCCCAAATGCCTAACTAAACACCTCCTAAAAGACCCCTCGCTCGATGGATAGGAGTACCAAACTCTACCTCGGTCTTGCTCATCCTAATGTGCTCAAAGGACTTCCATCTGCAGGTCAAAGCACTCATCAACAACTTATACACGACATCACCAATCAAATACCCCAGCACCAAACAACGCCACAATCTAGCCAAATCTAATGAAGTCATCAGAGCTCTATCAATCACAGTGCTCCAAAGCAAATAGTATAAGTTACTCTTTCTGACGCCCTTCATCACAATCATGGACCCAAATGTAACCTTCAAGCGTGCATCCTTCAAGGTCACCCTATAGCCTGCTGCCTCCAAAGTTCCAAGTGAAATGCTGTTCTTCTTCAACTGAGGAACGAACCTCACTCCAACCAACTCCCGAATCATCCCGTCACTCATCCTGATTCGAACGGTACCGATATCACCAATAGAGCATTTGTGATCATTCCCCATGAGCACGAAATCCCCTCTTTCCAACTCCTGAAAGCTGGAGAACCAATCCCTCCTAGGGCAAATATGGTATGTAGCGCCCGAATCCAACATCCACTCTGTAGAGTAGGTAACACAAACTGACGGCAGTGCAGATAATGAGTAGCCTGAGGAATCCGAATCTGAATTGTTACCACTAGTCTTGACAATATTCACCTCTGAAGCTTGTACAACTTTCTCCTTATTCTTCCCGGCTTGATCATTCAACTTTGGGCATTCAGCTTTCCAATGTCCATCTTCTTTACAAAAAGCACATTGATTCCTACGAATTCCAAGATATGCTCCTCTAGAATGTGACCTCCTACCTCGGTTTGGGCCCTTTGCTCTTGCAACCAATGCCTCCGCTACCGGCTCAATAGAAGTCTCCTTGTCCTTCTTCTTGAGTTGGTAATTCACTAATGCAGCGGTGACCTCACTATATGAAAGAGATGCCTTCACATTAATAAGAGTAAGGACAAACGTCTCATATTCCTCGTCGGGCAATAAACTCAACAATAGCAACGCCTTGTCCTCATCTTCAACAATGACATCTACATTCGTCAAATCTGCAAGAAGCTTCGTGTAGTGGTTCATGTGATCACTAATGGATGTCCCCTTTTTCAATTGGAGACGATAAAGCCTCATCTTCAAATGCAAGCGGTTTTCAACGCTCTTCGTCAAGTACTTGCTCTTTAGGACCTCCCAAATCTTCTTCGCAGAAGTCGCATTCATCACATCATATTTTAGATCTTGAGTGAGACAAGACCTAATCACACCACACGCTGTCCGATTCATCTTTTTCCAAACCTTCTCATCAATGTCGTCCGGTTTTCCATCCAACTCCAAAGTATCTTTCAAATTCTGTGCATTGAACGCATCCAAGACTTCGCATCGCCAAAGTCCAAAATTGTTAGTGCCATTGAACTTCTCCACGTCAATCTTCATCGAGTGGATACTCAAACTTTGGACAGTCTTCACACCTGAAGAACCATCCTCAACTCCCTTTTTCTCGGTCATAATCCTCAACACACCAACAACCAATGCGGAAACAAATAAAGAATAGATCCAAAACTGAGAAAAGAAAGAAGCTTTACCAAAAAAGATCCTACCTTTCTCACTAACTGAAATCCTAGACGAGCTTCCCAAATCGATCTACTCCTCCAAATAGCCCAAGCGTAGCCCGAGCTCTGATACTAATTGTTGTTAAAAACCGTGTCGAGGAACCAAACCAAACACCGATCAAAGAGGGCCAAAACCAACCAAAATCAATGCACAAACAAAACACCAATTTTAACATGGTTCGGCAATTGCCTACGTCCACGGGGGTAAGAAGGAGATGAGGTTTTCACTAATAGAGAAGAAGAGTACAACTTGAGATTACAAATCACTCGAAGGAACAAACTAATCTCACCAACAAAGCTCTAAATCTCTCTAAATAAACCCTAATCAAATAGCTTAGAAAATACCTCTTTTCTGTGCTCCAAATATCCCAAACTCTTACCTTAAGAAACCCTAGAACATGTATTGATATTTATACAAACACCAAAACCAAATAAGAACAGGAAACCAAAATTGGGCTTTGACCCGATTGGC